CAATACCACAGCAAAATACTTTCCTTCCTCTATTAAATAATTACTATAATCAATAACATTGTACTAAATGCAAGGATCACCTGTGAAATCATAGAATCTGCTATCTGCCTTTTGTACCTATCCAGGATTTGGCAACCTCTAGGGATGAACAGATATTATTCATTTGAAGGAAGATGCTGTTTATATTAAATGTGTCTGATCAGTATACAGCCATCACATTCCACATGTACACATGCCTTAGTGACATCATTCTTTTGGGGACTTTTTAACCAGGTCCAATTGGTGACTTTATTCGACATTCAGTAACACTTATGGCTGACCTTTGGACCAAGATGAAAGGTGCACGTTTTTCTCATTAGTTGTGCTCACTTAATTATTGACAAGATTTTCCAATAACAACAATGAAAAAACTTAAAATGGAAGAAGATAGGTCTCTTTACAGGAAATGTTCCTAGCTAGCTACACAACAGCTTCTCAGGAGGCAGTGCCCTAGAAAGGAAAGCGTAAGAAGTTTGGAAAGAAAAAGGTTTTACTCCAGCTCTACCGTCTGGCTGTTTGTCTGAGTCTGAGTCTGGTTTTGTTTGGTTGGTTGGCTTTTGTTTGTTTGTTTGTTTGTTGTCTGAAAGTGGGAATTGTGCATTTACCATGCAGAGAATTAGAGAAAATATATATAAAGTTTCTATCATGATACCTGAATATAGTATATGATCAATAAGCAAAATAATTATTATGAATCCAGAGTCAGACTAGATGACTTTAAGGATTAAGTGGCATTCCTACTCTAAGATTCTAGGGCTCTCAGTTCTAAATTTTTTGAGACTTCCCATACTGAAAAAATTTCCCAGTCACAATGTGTTGAGTGCTTACTATGTGCAAAGCACTATGTTTCAAGGAAAATTATTGATAAATAAGGGGAACCTGACAATCTATTTTACACGCTTTTATAACTGTTCCTCAAGTTAAATAAATGGAAACTACCCAAAAGGCCCTACCAAAAGCAAGCAAGAGCCTCTGACAGTTTGCTCCCCAGAAGATAACTCTGAATTAGGTTTACTATAACATGAGGCCTTTGTAGAAAGATAACACAGGTTCTCCTCAGGAAACAGGAAGTGCAGAATTGGGAGAAGTAACTCCAGAACAGAAACTGCCATCCTGGGTCAGGGAAGCCATGGATGGTGCTGAAGACCCAAGAACTTGGGCAGTTCTTTTCTGAGCTTAGGGAGTGTGTGCTGACAGATGGAGAAACCCCCAACCCACCCTCAGGGACCAGAAAGCCAGGAACAGGGAGAATACCCTGAACTTGGGAGACGGGATGGAGGCAGGCAGAGCAAACAAGGCCAATGGACGATGGAGCAGAGGTCAGTCAACAGTTGTGATCAACCACTGTTTCAGTAAAAGTGTTGATCTTCCCCATATCCCAACATATTATAACATACTATTTATAAACTACTTCCATGTACTATATGGAAGTATGTCATAAAAACCTTCACAGAGTACAGGTGTATATATTGAAAAAGATGAAACCTACTTAAACAGAAGTTGTAATATTTTACTCTTCACCTTAGCCTTCCTACGTAGCCACTTTGGAGACCATTGGTAGAAAAAAGGTGAACTTGTTCAGGTTGGGAGGTATGGGCTTGGTACCCTGTATGGATATTTAAAAGACAAAAACATCCTCAACAACTTTTCCTTAGCTTTTCTTAAAAAAAACAAAAGAACAAAAAAAACCCCAGCCTGTCACCAACTCAGTAAACAGGAACACTGCCAGATAAGAATTTGATCCTCCAGTGCTCTCTCTCCAGCTTCCAGCTCTCTCTCCTGCTGGATTTCGGATTGCCCTCTTCCTCAAAGGCTGGCAAAGACAGTCATTTCTTGAGCCATAAGGTTTTCGACCATTAGGGAGCTAAGACCCAGTTGTTTGGTTGTGACCACATCTGACCAGCAAGAGTGTGGCTTACAATATCACAGCTCTTTTTAATTTGGAAAAATGGAAGCACTTCGTTTGGAGTGTGTATTCTGAGAGAGACAACCCTACAGAGCTGTCTTTATGTAGACTGAGTAAAATTAAACACTAGGTCCATAATGAGTTTTGTTCATTTGGTTGTTGGTTTTTTGCTAAATCGACTTAAAAATACTTTCCTCTGAAAATAGGTTTATTATAATGAATAAAAGCCATGTTTTATAGAATTTTCCTTATCAAACAACATCAAAATTATTGTGGAATTTATATATATATATATACATATGCTTCATTTTATTACTGTAAAGAGAAACACAAATAAACCTGTAGCTGATCTAGAAGAAATGGCCAAAGCAAACCAGACTGGGAAAAGCATTTGTTAACCCCTTTGTTCAGTATGCCACAATTACATCTCACTGCATTTTGTAGCCAGGACCCTCAGCACCCCAATGTCAGAGTTTCCACGGAACTACCAAAACCACATTTGTGGTCTCAGTTTGGAAAGCTTTCCTTTGGGAGAAATATCTGCTTTTTCTCTCTAAATGTTGGCACTCACTTTTCAGTGTACATCTGATGACTCTTGGCTGTCAAGAACTTTGTATTGGGTGAGATGCTTTATCTTCCACTGCACCTTCAGGGAATGGCAGCTGGCCTGTTGCTTCTATCTGCTTAGTCAAGCCCAGCGATGGGAAAATGGTTTTCACTGACAAGAAGTAGTTTACCAGAATTAAAACAAACTGCAAAAACCATTCTGTGTAGGATTTGGGGGACATATTTTTAGATCTCAATTTTAGAAATACAGAAATTAATTCTACAGATTAGTAGTAATTAAGGAAAAGTCACATTACTGTATGCCTCATTTTATAATGACAACACTTTATAATTATAACAGTTTTGTTGTTTCTTTAGTTCTTTTTATTTACTTTTATCAAGGTATAGTAAGGATAGCTGCCAATGGTATGAACCAGAGAGTTTCATGGACACCACTCTCACCCCATGGCATCTCAGCACACATAAGTTTTATAGGGTCAAGGATGCTTGAGAAAGGAAAAGGCAGAGACCACAAAGACTTTTGGAAAGACAAAATGCCATGGCAGAGTTTTTCATCTTATAAAATACTGACTTTTTAAAAGAATAATTTTTGCACACTCATTTACAGCCTATTCCACTATTTTTCTTGAAGTGAACTTTCTAGTATATGTTTCACAATATGTAAGTAGCTGATTATACAACTAAGAGGTTAGTGAATATAGGAATTATTATAAGAGCAACACTTTTTATGGGTTACAGCTCAGGCTGTTTGTGGAAGGAATATGAACAATTTCTTTCTGGTCTCCCCAGAATTCAAGTTTATAATTCCTTGGCTTCAATTAAACACTAAATCTTAAGTCCTTTCACAAGTTAGTATGGATCCTTAGTCCAGATGTGAAGGAAATTATATTTCACTTAAAGCAACAAGGCCACAGACAGTGGAAAATCAGAAAACACTAAAGCAAGAAAGTGAAAAACCTCTTTTTAAAAAAATCTGGTAATCAGGAATGTATGACGATTCAGAAAGGCACAAGTCCAAACTGTACCTCTGGCCTAATTGTGTAAGAGTTTGCCAAATCAATTACCAGTGAAAAACATTTCAGAGAGAAGGCTGAAACTTTTAAAAGACTGTTAATTCTAGACATTTACAATACCAAATGATATCCTAGTTATAAATAATTCTTATCCATACTTAAAATCCATCTTGAACCTCTACTAAGTCAGTCTTCCTTAACCTACTTATAGGATTTGCTATAGTGAAGGTGGCCTATCATTTTAAAAATGAAAATAAAATGAATTTAAAAATGAAAATTGAAAGCCTTTTCCTAAATCACCCTGTCCTTTCTACCAGTTTGCTTTTAGCACAGCAGGTCGTTGGATGTATGAAAGTAATAGATGAAATCTAAAGCAGCCTACCTGGGTTCAGAGGCCCCTTTGACCACTCAGGATGTGCTTTACCGCCAATGATGCCTCAATTTTCTTTTCTGTACTGTCAGAAAATAACACTTAAAAGAGTTTTAAAGCACTTAGTGTCTAACCCCTTGAAAGATGGCTCGTGTATCTATACTGCAGGTCAAAAGTGCAAGTTAGGCTCAGTCATAACCCCAGGGCATCACTGAAAACTGTGTGACGTGGTGAACATTTCAGAACACATGGATTTTTAGCCCCTCTTTTTTTTTTTTTTTTTTTGAAGGGTCAGGGCGTATTTTCACAGCAGTGCATCATATACATTTGGATTCCTCAGTCTTCTTTTCTCCTGGGCCTCCAAGGCACCCATCGTAGTCTGCCAGGTACTTCTGGTTAATTATACTTAAGTTTTATCCAGGTCATCCCCTCCCTGTCTGTACAAAATGATCTGCATTTCTCTTCTCAGTTCTGGCCAGAACGCACCAGCTTCCTGAAGTCGTCCCTGATCAGTGTGCTCCCTGGACTCGGGAATCCTTTGCTAATAAATTCCTCAGATCGTTGAGGCTTTCCGAATCACCGTGGCATCGTCTGAAATTTTTCATTAAAATGTGGAATTTTTACATCCCTATCCCTGAGCTGTCGGAGAAAATTTTTACATACAGATACAAGAAGATGGGTGCGCTGCAGCTCCAGTAGCTGGTGTGCGCGACGAGTAGAGGCCAGCTCGGCGACGGTTCATTCGCACAGGACAAGGGCGAGGGAAATAGGATAGTGACGCACCTGAATAAGTCTGCTAGAGGAGAGGCGATAAACTAAGGCTTGATGTCGTGCAGGGAATGAGAGGCTGACACACACACACACAGCACACACAGCACACGCAGAGAGAAGCAGCGCCAGGTATCTGACAATGTCACGGCCCCAATCCAGACCGGGTCTCCCCCCTCCCATCCGCAGTGCCCCCTCCCCCGCACCTCCGGCGACGACAGTCAGCGCATCCCTCCGCTCTGGCCCGCTGGGGCGCGCCGGGTCCGCCCCTCCCCCGCGCCCGCGGCTCCCTGCCCCCCGCGAACGCGGCTCCCCAGTGTCCTCTAGAACGCCCGCGTGGCTGTTGGGTTTCGAATCCCGGCTCCGACCCTCGGCCTCGGTGCGGTGCGCTGCTGGCTCGCAGGCGAGCCTTTGGACCCCGCATCAATCATTAACGGGTCGGCCCGGGCTGCGGCAGCCCCAGCAGGGGGATGGTACGGAACTCTAGACAGGGGACAACTCTATGCCCGCGGCGGCCCGAAACCCTAGCCAGGAAGGCCCCCGCCCTTCCTCGGTGCGCCCGCCCGTCCTCCAGTGCCGCGGCGCGCACACCCCCGCCTCCCGCTCCCCGGGCGGCGGCGCAGGCACCCGCACCGCTCGATGCCCAGTCACCGCAGCGCCGCCGCCGCAGTCCGCAGCGCGGGCGGCCGCGCGCCGGGAGCCGGGAGCTTGGTGCGGGGGCCGCCGAGCCCCGCGCGCTCCTGCCGGTAGCGGCGCTGCTAATCGATAATTTAATTTATTTCTTTATTTTAGGAGCGGCTGCTCGGAGGCGCAGGTCCTGTCTTGAACCCAGAGCGACGCCCCCGGCGCGGGCACAAAGGCTCCGACGGCGGCCGGCGGGGGCTGCCCAGCGCGCAGGAACCGGCGCCAGAGGTCGCCTGTGTGCGTCCTAGCCGAGCCCCGGGCACCATGCCGCGGCGCCTGCAGCCCCGGGGCACGGGCACAAAGGGCACGGCCGCGGCAGCTTCGGGGGCCGCCCGGCACTCCCATCCCGCAGTACCCGAGGATCCCCCAGCGTCGGCCAAGCCGCTGCTGCGTTGGGACGAAGTGCCCGACGACTTCGTGGAGTGCTTCATCCTGTCGGGCTACCGGCGCCTGCCGTGCACGGCGCAGGAGTGCCTGGCCTCGGTGCTGAAGCCTACCAATGAGACGCTCAACTTCTGGACGCACTTCATCCCGCTGATACTATTCCTGAGCAAGTTCTGCCGCCTGTTCTTCCTGAGCGGCTGCGATGTGCCCTTCCACCATCCGTGGTTGCTGCCACTGTGGTGCTACGCGTCCGGAGTGCTGCTGACCTTCGCCATGAGCTGCACTGCGCACGTGTTCAGCTGCCTGTCACTGCGCCTGCGCGCCGCCTTCTTCTACTTGGACTACGCATCCATAAGCTACTATGGCTTTGGGAGCACGGTGGCCTACTACTACTACCTGCTGCCTGGCCTGAGCTTGCTGGACGCCAGAGTCATGACCCCGTATGTACAGCAGCGCCTGGGCTGGCACGTGGATTGCACGCGCCTCATAGCCACCTACCGCGCACTGGTGCTGCCAGTGGCCTTCATGCTGGCGGTGGCCTGCACCGTGGCCTGCTGCAAGAGCCGCACCGACTGGTGCGCCTACCCGTTCGCCTTGCGTACCTTTGTCTTCATCATGCCCCTCAGCATGGCCTGCCCCATTATGCTGGAGAGCTGGCTCTTCGACCTGCGTGGCGAGAACCCCACACTCTTTGTGCACTTCTACCGCCGCTACTTCTGGCTAGTGGTGGCTGCCTTCTTCAACGTAAGCAAGATCCCGGAGCGCATCCAGCCAGGCCTCTTTGACATCATTGGTCACAGTCACCAGCTTTTCCACATCTTCACTTTCCTCAGCATCTATGACCAGGTGTACTACGTGGAGGAGGGTCTGCGCCAGTTTCTCCAGGCACCGCCTGCAGCGCCCACCTTCTCAGGCACCGTGGGCTACATGTTGCTGCTGGTAGTTTGCCTGGGGTTGGTCATCAGGAAGTTCCTCAACAACACCGAATTCTGCAGTAAAAAGTGAGCCTCCACCACGCAAGAGGTCACTGGTTTGCCCATCTGTTTGTTTGGAGTTTCTGTTGTTGCTATTGGTTTGTTTTCAAGTTTTGTTGTGTTTCCTTCTTGCTGGAGGAGGGTGCTGCAAAACCACAAGGGAAAGTTTCACTGCTACTAGGGAATACCAGTCCACTTGGAGATTTAAGAGCAGGGGAAATCAACCGAGAGAGGGCCACTGATTCTTGCTCCCTGAAAACAAAAATCAGGTAATGTCTCTGATATCCAGGGATTTTACAAAGGCATAAATAAAATCCCAAATAACATCCCCAAACAGTTTGATTTTCCATTTGTTTTCTGTGTCAGCAGTAATCACAAGCAGCCCTTGTGAGGTCAGGTATGCAGTTAAGAGGATAAATAGTCAGAAATCCCTGGGTACTTCCATTTCAGCGAGGAAAGCTTGGATTTGTCAAAAGAATGGAGCTTTGTAGGAAACCGGTACAAGACACAAACCCAGGGCTTAACCTGCTAGAAAATGCATGGAATGTGAACACAAGTTAATTATTCCAAAATGTTTCTTAGATGTTATTTAAATAGTAATATATATGATGATTTTTCATAATTTATAAAAGCCTGTGATATGCACTGAATTTTCTTTGTCATATAGTTTTGAATTTTACAGCCTTCTGCATTGCACACACTTGAACTGGACATCAGGGAAAGCTGCTTAAAAGTTCTCTACTTTTTAAAAACAGTATTTTCTGAAGGCTTATGAGTGTCATGGTACAACTGTGAATAACTTTTTACCTTAGGGATTCTGGTTAGTCTACTGGTGAAGAGCTCACGTGGTTTGTATAGGTCCCAGATTCCTATTTACTTTAATGTATTCCACATAACTCATCCTGATTTTTTGTTTGTTTTGTCTTTAATCTTATTCTTTGCTTCTCTACTAAAATTGCCACTGGAATAAATGTGCCTTTTGAAGCAATGCCCAAACGACTGACCTCAGACAGTTTCTTGCATGGGGAGAGCAACAGGAATAAGCTTTTCTTACTTTACTGCATGTCAGGAAGGAAGATGGTGTTGGTTTTAAGTTTTTTGATTGGACCAGAATGCAAGACATTTGGCTTCTCTACCAGGACAAGGCGCCAACCCAGCAGTATGGCTGTGGTCCCTAGTGCAGCCATGGTAGAGGGTGAAAGGACACTGGAGCCATCTATCTTTGCTAAAAATTTACAATACAATGTTCAGGTGTAAATGAGGCAGTGAATATTATGAGAACCAGAAGCATATTAACTTGGGATGTAACTGAAATTTATGAATTAAATAAGATTATGTATGCCCAGTTAAACACAGAACTGTTATTTGGGTCAAGACTATGGAAATGATTGGCAGTCACACTGAATCCTTGAAAACTTAGCAAACACATCCCAAGATGCTTAATTTTTTTGTGGTCAGGGTCTGGCTATACAGTCCAAGTTGGCCTTGAACTCCCTCTGTATCCCAGGTTGGGCTTTAATTTATAATCCTCCTGCCTCAGCCTTCCAAATGCTGGTATTAAAGATAGTCACCAACATGCCTGCCTCCCAAGATGCTTTCTAATCACCACATTGGCCAGTGTTACCTAGACATATCTTATAAATGCTAGCCTGTAATTGGAAACTCTTGATGAACACAGACCTCTGAAGTAGCTAATTGAAATATCACACTTAGTAAGTCGTTTGGTTAAGAGCCAAAGAAAGTCCATAAATGGTAAGTCTTGACTTGAGGGTGTAATTTTGATCAAGTGCATAAAGCAGATGAGCACTTACCTCAGCACTGGTAAAAAGATGGCTCGCTTTTTTTTTCTTGTACTTTTAATCACTACTGTATTTGTAAACAGAGAGGCTCAGCACAATTCCCTGGAGGAACCAGTATCCTTGTGTGTGCTAATTTGCACACAGAAGTTAAATTTATGTATGTCTGTATTTAATTTAGGACCATGTAATGGGATCATAAATACACTTTGCACAATTCCTGACAAGTGTCAGTGTCTCGTCCTTTGCTAAGTACAAGGAGATTCCTGTTAGGTTACGGAAGCTGTCCCTTTGTGCTTACCACAGATGTTACTCCTCAGCTGTAACTTGACTCACTATATGTGTCTAAGGACAACTGTGGAAATCAGGATATTTCCACATGGAGACTTATTTGCATATCATTAATATCTCTTCTAGAGCTCCAAAGAATTTTGGTTCAGAAGTTAGGGAAACAGCTTGAACAGTATTTTGCAGCTTTCTTGTCAAATGGGAACTCCCTTTCAGGAGGAACTTTGAAGAAGGGGACTTCCAAAAAGGATCAACAGGTTTGAGAATAAGAACTAAATCCCAGTATTTGTCATTTTAAATTTTTGCTGGAGATCTCCTGAGTCCACAAAAAAGTCTCTTCTTGTTCTGTGTCTTTGTCCTTAAGCAGAGGCCACTTAAGGATAAAATTTTACCCACATCATTTTCAAGTGATTCTGATGGGTGAGCCAGTGAGATGACACACTTTTCCCTGGGAAGGTTTAGCCACCCAGTATGTTCCAAGGAGAATAAGGACTCACTCTCTTTTTCCCTTTGCCTTTTGCTTCCTCCACTTTCCTTTCCCTTTAGTATTATATACCACAAATAACATGAACAAGAGGACATTCTAGTTGAAAACAATGGTTTGGCTTTATTTCATGTTTGCAAACAGGTATCACATCTACTACGATCAGGGATGACTTAACTAGATAAACTATTTGCTAAATTATATCAGATTTTTTGTCAAGACAATGCCATTTTAGAAACAGTCACTTACTATCTACACATTTGCATAGAACCATCAGGCTTTTTAAACATTTCAGAGATAAGGCCACAATCAGAGTAAAATACCTTTGGAAATGTTTTTTCACACTTCATTTTGTCACATCCATTAAAATTTGGTTTTCCTTTATTATGTTCTATTATTTGAAATCTAGGACAACTTATAAATAAGAATTCACTCCATTATCTTCGAACCATCTATTTTGGCAGTAAAATTTTGAAGCATATTATGTAATACATTTTATTTTTACTTGTTAATCATGATCTAGGTGACATCTCAAGAAGTGGCACCATGGAGTTATGCCTGGGAAATGAGGGTGTTTGACTGCAGTGCCTGTCACCCGTGGGTTAGTCCCTGGGGCTGACTCAGGCTAAAGTAGTTAGTTAAAGGGGTTTCTTCCTTCCCTGCCTTCCTTGCAGCTCAGGTGACCTTCCCAAAGAGAGGAAGTAGAGCTCTTTGGTCATGTCATTACTGGCTTATAAAAATAAATGTGATCTTTTCCACTGGCCACACACTTTCTATAAATAGCCGAGGGAGAAAGTATGGAGCTAGAAAGCTGGCCAGAGTGGCCTTCCCATGTTTCCATTCATAAAGCTTGCCTGTAAGTTCTTACAGTCAAAAAACCATTTAGTCTCATTCATCATGGTACTTTATGGGAATCATTTCTAAGAATGTAAAATTTGGGGAATAGAGGTGATTTTCATTATTTCTTTTCCGGATGTGGTGCTGAACTGGAGGGCTGAGAGCAATAATAGGGAATTTTATCTTTAAATCTCATAACTTTAATCTGCAAAAAGCTGTATTAGGAGACAGGTATGGTAGAAGTTAACTCCATTTCAAGGTTTTACCATTGGTCCAAGGTAACAGACTTAAGTTTTCCTATTGGCATTATAATGTGGGGATAATTGTGCACTCAATTGTGAGCATCTGTGGGTTATGTGCAACTATGATACGTGGCTGAGCCCCACAGATACATTGTACATGTATATGATATATGGATATATATATATTCCTTTAATTGACTATAATTTTTAAATAGAGCAAAGAGATGGCTATCTTTTTTTTTTTTTTTTTTTTAGTATCAGGGATTGAACTCAGGACCTTGTGCTTGCAAGCCAGGCACCAGAACCACTGAGCTAAATCCCCAGCCAAAGATGGCTATCTTTAATACTAGATTATAAAATCTTATTAAACATGTTATCAGCCACTTAAATGGTTTTTATCATCTTGTTCATCTACTGAAGTCTCATACTGCTGACTTCATTGTCAAGGTCCTTGAGTCAGCGTTCATCCATCCACCTGTGTAATCCCTTTAATGATCACTGAGCACCTACTGTATGTAAGACCTTTGAGCAAGAATCTGTCCATTCTGTTGCAGCCATTACTTTTTTGCCTTGTGGTGGAACAAAGAAGACTGGGTCTTTTCATCTATTAGTAGAAGAGCAGTACATAGAATCTTATTTCAATCAACATGTTAATTTATCTGCAATTTCTTTTCTATTCTTTTATATTCCTGGCTCTATGGTTAAAAATAACTTTCAATTTTAAAGTACAAGTCAGGTAAAGGGATGGTGGGAATATGTGCAAAACTGGAAACATTTATCACCTATTAACAATGATAATAGTTATTGAGAGGTTAGTAGTATTTATATAATAATGAAATATGGTTTATTCAAAGTCCTAAGTTTTGATGTCATTAAGTGAACTTCACAGGCAGTATAATAAAGTAAAAAAACAAAAACTTTCACACACGTGAATTTAAATGCTTAAATCTCCAAAATTAAAACTACGACTAATGTGCTAGCTTTTTTTTTCTTTTAAGATTTTTGTGTTGTAACTTAAAGAGCATATCTGAGAGAAAATAAATCTGGAGGAAATCATATTTTTAAAATATCAGATGTAAAAAAAAAAAAGTAGGAAGAGAGCATGGGAAACCAAGAACAAAGAGAACTGGATTCAGACACCAAAATGGGCAGTTTTGTTCAGTTTTGCTTGAGTTTTAAATTTTATCCCTAGAAAAGCATGTGAATTCCCAGGGTCTTAGTGTTTAAATAGGTAGGCAAGGAATTCTATTTGGCTTATCCTGTAGCTTTTAACCTGAGCATGAGGTGCCTGAGTATATTTTGAGTATCACATTTATCCCCTGGCTTAACGTCCCTAATTTGCTTCCACAAAATTAGGGCATAGGTCAAAAGGGAATTAGGGGATAGCAGCAGTCAATTGTAAAGCAAGCTTTGAATCATTCTCTTCAAGGAACACCAATATTCACTGGCATACATTACCTGACAAAAAGTGAGAGAGCCTAGACACACTGGAAAAGGAAGCATTCGGTAGGTGAAGCTGAGCACAGGTGTATTCCCTTTTGAGAAGCTACATGCCTTCCTACTGAAGATCTGACTTCTTCAGTATTATGAATAATTATTTCCTAGTTGTGGAAATGGGTATCAGTTCATCTTAGTCACCATTCCAAAAAACTAACACAAATTTCTGTTGTCCTTTCAAAAATACAAATGTATTGCATTTCTGGATTACAAATTTCTAACCACTATATAGGCTTTTTTGTTTTAGAACAACTTAAGAGTCTGTAAGCAAGTTGCAGAATTAGTGTTTATTTATAGGTCAGGGGCCAAGAATCCTCACTTAGCTGTTAATTATGGCAGGATGTGACTTTTGAGAGAGCTGAATATACATCTGTGTGCAACAAAATGCTTATTTATTTGCTCTTTAACTCAGTGGGAAAGCAGCCTTTATTTTGAGCTTTTGAAAATATTCCTAATGCACTGTTCCTCTAAGTGTAATTCAGGAGCTTTATGGCTTTGGGTTCTCAACCTCTGAAAGCTATTCCAAACATGGCATTTCTCAAGAAAAATTTCTTGAGTGTGCAAAATTATTTTTGACTGTATAAAAGTGGCAGGTCACCTTTCTCATGCCTTACAGCTCCACCTAAAATATGCAATAAGCGGTCAAGGCTGAGTGGGGCAGGATCTGCAATTGGTTACTTAGCCATATGATGAAAATGGCCCTGCTTCCCATGGTTTACGGTAATGTCAAGAAAGGGCACCATGTAAATAAACCCTCATTTTTGGATGAAATATGGGCCACACTAATTTCATTTCTTCTTTTAGTTCCATCTCTAGTTAGAAAGGATAATCTGTTTTTAATATGGTGGAAGCAAAAAGAAAATTCGTGGGAAAAATTTTTAAAGAAGTATTTTAATTTTATATTCTAAAAGTTTGTAGTAGCAATTTGTTTGTTAAAAAAAAAAAAAAAACAGGCCTTAGCATAGGTGAGAACCAGTGCTTTTTGGAAAGCCTCATCTCTGTCCTGGAGGTTTGATCAACTTTGAGCTCTTACCCAAATGATAAAGGCCTTGTAAGTCTTTAAAAATGTAAATACTATGTAGTTTAAAGAAGGATAAAAATCTTTTTTAAAAAAGGAAGAAAACATGTCAAATAGGTTCTAGGTAAGTAATGAGGCTAAATTTTAAAATCTTTAAAACTTTTTGGTTAGAAACTATTAAATTGCCTCTCCCAGGAAGGCTTAGTACAAAAGGTCTACTTTTCCGCCAGGTTGGTTTTTGTTTCTGGGGGCTCTGAGCAAAATTATTCTAACCAAGCAACTGGGTACACAGACAGTAAACAGGTGAGGTGCGTTTCACTCTGATGAGGTTGTGATCACAGTGAATGGCAGCCAGTAAGAAATGCACAGCCCTGGACATTGTCCCTTCTTTCTTTGAAGTGGAAAGAAGCAGCACCATGTCAGTGCTCCACGGACCAGGAAGAGCTTTCTGTGTTCCAGGGCTGGGGGAAGATTCTGTGCCTGCTTTTCCAAGCATGTGGTAGCTCTGAACTTCCTCCATTTCAGCCTTGACCCAGACCATTTCTGCCACCCTTGAAGCCTTCACTTTTCACAAATACAGCCTTGAAGACAAAAAATTTCTAAAAAGATTCAATATGTAGTTAGGCCTTCTCCAACCATCTGCCTTATGAGGTGCATCTGTTTCTAACCTAAGGATTTAAACTAGATAGCTGTACACAGGTTACAAGAATGTACAACCAGCAGGTCCCCTTTTGAAGTAAAGGGGATTACTTGAAGGGTCATCCTCATGTTTTTCCTCAGGTCAGAGGCAGAGGGATGGTTTAATAGTGATCAAATAGAAACCTTGTGTCTGTTGTTCTGTTTAAGCTCACTTAATGTTGATAATGGGGGAAGAAGGGAGTAGAGTTACGCAGGCATAAAGAAAGAATTTTTCCCAGTGCCTGCTAAATGAATTATTATTATGCTACCCTGACTCCAGTCCTCACCTACATCTTAAAGAGCTGTCTCATCTAACCAGAAGAGGGCTTCTCAGGAGACACACATTTCCATACCTGAACTACAGTGTGGTTTTGGATCAATGGTATATTCCAACAGAAGAGCATTATTTTATAATTTCAGATTTTAAGATCAATTAAGCAAAACAACCCATAACATAGATATAATTTTGGTCAATCCTGTGCATGTAACTAAACAAATTGTGACTCGTTTCTGTTGTATAGTTTGATTTCAGCTTTCTGACACTCTGTTCCCTCTACAGTGTCTTGAATATGGAATTCTGTACAGTAATGTAACTATGCATTTTTTTGCTGAAAAACAAATGTATGAAATAATAAATTATTTGTAAGCACAGTGTTTAGGACTGCATTTGTATGCCTCCATGCATGTTCAGGAGACATCCTTCAGCAAACAAATACTGTAACACTAATGCACATGATAAGAAAAAATTATTCTTATCAAAATCAGCAGGCAGAAAAGTAGAGTATAAGTTTTTTCTCAAGAATAATCTTTATATATTACTTTTTACAATACTAGTTCAATGAAAAAGATTTGTGAATTACTAGGAAGCCATATATTCTAAGAAAAGAATTGTATAACCTGGGTTATAAAACTTTTCCTTCCCCCTCCCTGTTTCCCAAGAGATATGTGGCCCATGGGTTTCTGTGATACAGCTTCCCCCACAGCCCTGGTGATCAGTGTGAGTTTACAGTATCTTTGTCCTAAATAACCTGGCAAGGAATATCCAGTTCAGTTAAGCTCTGTGGTTGCTGTTATGTCTTTAAATCATATTGACTCTTCATTCAGTTAGAGGTTTTTAATCAGAGTTCTCAGGAACAGAAACTGTCCTCTTGATGAAGCAAGAAAAGATTTACAGGAAGAATACTGGGGAGATGCCAATGTACAAAGCTGAGCACCCATGTCCCAGGAAGGAAGGATCCAGGCAATGCCAGAGACCCCAGCAGGGAGCCCCTGCCATTCTTCAGGACAGCTCTTGAGGGAACTGCTACTGTGGGTGCCAGCTCCAGCTGCTTTCTGGCCCAGTCATGTATGCTCAATTTCAGTTCCTGGTTAAGAGTATCTGATCTCACAGCCCTTCCCAAAACCACAAGAAGAGTGGAGCTTAGTTCTCCTTAGGAAGTAATGATGGGCAGATAAAAGCAACTATCCCCTTCACCCAACCCTTGGCTGTTTGGGACCCACACATATCACTAATCTCTACTCTTGGGGAGCATGAGGACAAGGATTACAGGAGACTGAGAGTTTGGGCCTGTGGGTGCTATGCAAAGCCAAGTGTCATAGCAATGTGGGGTCCCTGGTGAAGGTTCAGAGCATCTGGTTATAGAAGGAGGGAGAAAAAGTGTGTTACTAGCCCAAAATGGCCCAGGCCCCAGCTGGTTTACATGTACCCTCCTTTCCATATACTGTATACTTTCCTTAACATAATATAACTGTTTTGCATACAATATAAGGTCATAGCCTAGCCCCTTCCCAAAGACAAACCAAAATTCTGACTTAAAACTGCAACTAGCTCCTAACTCCCAGGATCTCCACCTCATATGAATTGCCTTCATTCAGGTAGGGATTTATTCAGTAAGACACTCAACACTTCCCAACTCACCGTAAAGTGGCAGAGAAGATCTAGACCACTGAGAGGCACATTCCCTCTCACAGTAGTATAACACCTCTAATAGCACATGGGCAGCCATCACTTACTGTGCTCCAAAAAGAACGAGGCCTCCTCAACCTGTGGTGGGCTGAGCTCCTCAGGTTCTGTGTGCTGTGAGAATCTCCATGTGCCTAATCCAAGCCACTCTTAGGAGTTTCCAGTCACTCCATCCTGGTTGCCCATATTTCTTATTCCTGTTCCATACATCTGTCTGTTTGCCTTCAGATCAATTTCCCCACTCTCTCTGTATTGAAGCTGATTATATAAGTTCCATTGCACTTTGGTATTTTGTTTTGTTTTGGTTTAGTTTGGTTGGATCCTATGAATAGGAAATATGGTGGAAGATTAGATTGGAAAGAAGGGGTCAGAAGGTAAGCATTTTTCTCCTCCCTATACTCCCCATTCTTCCAGTTTTCTCCTGATATCCTCAACCCTGGTTGCTACTAGAAGTCACTGTGTAACTGGGAAGGATGACAAGAATAAAACCAGCATTATGGAGGGACCAAATAGAGTAAGTCACAAAGGAAGCCTTGATCAGTCTGTGCCTGAAACCTACACACATTTGGACTTTTTCTTATGTGAGCCAATACATTCCCTTCATTGTATGATTATATGTTATATTTACTGCTTGTAATAAAAAAGACGTAAGCCCCACCTTGGGTGCAGGTAGCATCAACCAATAGGCTTGTAGCCCAGATGGAATAAAATGAGAAAGCCAGGCTCACTGCTGTTGCTTCCTGTCTGTCCTTCCATGGACTATTTCTCCTCTGCCATGCCACGCTGTCTTGGAGCCAGCTAACTATGGACTGAAACTTCTACAAATTGCAAGCTAAAATAAACTTTTACTCCTTTAACTTGTGAGTACCCAGTATTTTGTCCCAGCAACAAAAAAGTAACTAAGACATGGATACTGTCTTTATTTTCTTACCTCCCACTCTCTTCTTTACCCATTGTGCCTTGGGTTCTTTAGTCTCACTAGAATGACTCTTGTTGAAATTTCTAACAACCTCCTTGTGACTAATAAATATTTCTTGGATCTTTTTTCATTTCCTTCTCCTTGAGACGCCTTGCCCTTGGTCTCTATGACTCTGCTACTCTTACACAATTTCCTTTACTGATTTATCTTTCCCTCATGATCCCTGCTGTTTTCTCCAAATGTAAGCACAGGCCATTTACATCAGTATAGTTTGAGGACTTGGTCAGCAGCCTTCTTATTCTGCTGCTTGCTGTCAGCTTTCCTGTTCATAGCAGAGGCAATGTAATATTTGTTCAAGAAGCTCAACTTTTATTCTATGCCTCGAATCCTTCCAGTGTTTGTAAACCAGCCAGTGTCTACTAATAAATCCCAACTAGCTTGAGTACATTCTGTTGTCTACTATTGATCTCACATTGATTATGCCAGGTAAATAGAAAGAGATGGTGGTTAGACATGCTGCAAATGGGAATCCATAGTTCTTGATTCCCTAAACCACTGGCAAATAGGCTATTGGGCCTCTGCTTTTTTTCTCCTTTACTTTCCGTGGGAAGACAAAGCAGGTTCTGGATCAGGCAGCTTCTTCAGAGAGTTTGCTTCTATTTCAAAGCAAAAAAGAAAGATTAGGAAGATAAATACCTACGAATTTTTTTTCTGTTAATAGTAACCTAAAATGAGTGAGAGGAAATACAACAGAGATACTTACAATATATGTCAAATTAAAGAATCTAAAATAACAAATCCTATAAATAATAAGTGGTGTTCCCATGTATCAAAGTGGTTTATAAAATGTTCATGTCAAGATTATCCCTTAATAATAAAAATTCCATTACATGTAAAAATGTACATAATTCTAATATTAGATAGGAATTCCATTAGTTTTTGAAATAAAATACTAACTGTGGGCCTCTATGCCACTGGGGAGTGGCCATGAATGTTAGGATTTCAGAAGCTGTTTGTGTTTTTTTTGCCTCTGGACAAAGGTGCTTATCCCTGTGATGCAACCCTTTGCTTCCATTAAAAGTACCCTAGATTTCCTTTGAGGAAGAATCTCTACCTCTGAACCTTACTGGGACTTCTCTACCAGGCCATCAGTAGGCATGTGACCGGTAGGTCTGAAATCAGCATTTCTCTCTGTTCTGTACTTTCCATTATTCACCTGCCCAGGTCGTCATGCAATTCTGCGAGCTAACCCATTAGCTTTCCAATAATTTCTTTCTTCTTTGTTTGATTTTTTTTCCTTCCTTAAGTTAGCTAAAAGGTTTTTATTTCCTATGATTAAGGAATATTGACTGAAGGCCTCCAGTTTCCAGTAAGGCATA